AGTCTGTGCTTCTCCATCTGCCCCCCCCCCCCCCCCCCATGCAATGTCACCAGGCTCATCCTACAGCTGCCCCTCCCCTCGCAAAACCGCTGGAGTCTGTGCTTCTCCATCTGCCCCCCCCCCCCCCCCCCATGCAATGTCACCAGGCTCATCCTACAGCTGCCCCTCCCCTCGCAAAACCGCTGGAGTCTGTGCTTCTCCATCTGCCCCCTCCCCCCCCCCGTGCTACACTCTCCCCATCTCAGTACCTCCTGATCTTCTGCAGAATAACAGCTTACGGCTGCCAATTACCCCCTCCCCAGTGGGCCTGTGAACACTGGCATGTGATCCTGTGGGACATTTGTGCATTATTGTCTGTCATGTGGATACATGTAAAGTACGCAACAGCATATTTTGTCCTGTTCATCAAATCTATATGAGCAGGAAATGTACATCCACATTGCAGGATGGAAACGCGTTTGTGGCTTAGCCTTATAATATAGCATAAATGTTTCTCCATGGAGTAATTTGTGATGTAAAAGGAATGCACTGTTTGGTGGGTAATTTGGCCTAACAGATATGTTCACTGGCCTGCGCAGTACAAAAGAGCCATGTTCCAGTGGAGAGGACACAGTGAACTCACAATGCTGTTAGCGGCTGAGTAGCTCCTTACAGCCCCCCGGAGGTTCTTAAGAAGTCAGCTAGACCCTCATAAAGCCTTTCATTGTGAATCACTTCCGCCTCTTCTGCTCTATATCCCGTTTCTATCTCCTCAGCTGTCTCTCATCCACCCTCTATGTGTTTATCAGGCTATTTCTGTCTCGGCATTCACTTTGATCTCTCAGTCTCTCTGTGTCCATGTCTTCCTGTCTACCTTCCTAAATCTGTATTCCCCCCCACGCAATAGTACTTTGGTCTGATCATACAGAGAGGAGCAAAATGACAAGAATCTCTCTCTGTGTGTTTGGTGAATATCAGAGCTGGGGTGTACAGTATGCTAGGCGGACATGGTCACGGACAGGCCGCTCCCATGCGATGGAGAAAGGGCGTGTGGGGGCAATACATTCTTACCTCAAGATTAGATGAAACCTCGGGGTTGTATTTACAGAACATAAAAGAAAATGCTACAATGAAAGTTCACCTGTCTGTATTCACGGCTGATAATGAAGTTATTCTCCCAAATGATCATCAGGACAAAACCCATAAGGACAGAACTGTTGTATCTCTGTCGATGTAACAACTGTAACAACTAATGGGATCCAAAAGCTCCTGTTGAGTCTGCAGATCTCTCAGTTCACCTCAAAAACTGAATCTGTTGAATCTGTCTCTGGCAACTGGCAAGGGAATTAAGGGGGTTGAAGAGAAGGGTTACCTTCCTATTGGCACTAGGAGATTTAGGAGGGAAAGTATTGTGTATGGGTTGGAGTTAGGGTTAGGGTTAGGGTTAGGGTTGGAGTTAGTAGGAGCTAAAATTTCAGCTGGAGAGACATTAATAGCACCTGTCATTGACAATGGGTCTTAGGCTCACATAGGTTTATGTATTAGGGAGTATCTGTATATATAGTATTTTTCCTGGTAGGGGATTTTCCATTAGCACATATATCAGAGGGTTCTAAAAGAGAAGGTGTAACAAGTGTCCATTCAGAAAGTACAGGATATATGTGCTGTTCTGTGCGGCCAACACATCATGCAGGAAGAGCAAGGCTGAGCCCCCTGAGAAGGGCATAGTCAGCTTATTACTGTCTGAATCAGAGAACTGGCAGCAGGACGGAAAGGAAGGGCACCCATGTGCTGATCAGAAGATCTGTCTGCCTGTGCTGATACAAACAGTCCCATTGAAGTAAACTGAAACCAGCTGACATGTATATTAACGTTTTATTAATTCAAGTTTTAGTTTTAAGATTCACAATTCACAAGCTCACAATTTTAAAATGCAGATAATGTATTAAAACTGCTACAGGATGAGCTCCTTGCAGGACAGCCAATCAGGACAGACCATCAAAGCAGCACCATTCATCTCAGAATATTATTATCTCTAATATTCATCTATAAAACCTGCAGAAGGTTGTATTATACAGATGCCCCCTGGTGGCAAACTCAGTAAAAAAAACCGTATTAAGTGTGTATTACTTATGTGTGTATTTTTATCAAAGTCCAAGATAAGTGCAAATTTGTTTAAGTAGTGCAATCTCCTTTTGTGCTTGCGTGTTGCTTAAACTGAGAAAACAGAATATCTGCAGAAATAAATGCACCACAGATATGTCATGTATGTTTGCAATGTGTTATTTGGCTTGCTTCTACGTCACTGGATTACTTAGAACCTTCTTGTCACAGGGAAATCAGGCTAACTGAAAACACAAGGAGCAGAGTTAGGGCTGCAAATGACGAGGCCAATGGCATCAGGCCACAGTGCTACCCAGTAAGCCGCCATGCCACCTATTGGAACAAATATGTATTACATATATCATCAGTGATTTAGTAATTAAATAAACCATTCTAAAAAAATCCTATTTTGCCTTCATAATAATTGATATTGATATATTCCAGTTACTCCATGCAAAGCATCCAGCCTGAGCAGCTGTATCTAGCCAAATAAATGTGCTCATAAAGTGATTGTCATCTGCAGGGCTCATTAAAGGAAATTAGATTACTAATTACTGGGAAAAAAATCTAAGAGAATTTAGTCTGAAAGGAGCTTATTAGTAACATTTTAAATGTACATGATTTATAGTACTTGTGAACTAAGGAGAAAGAAAACAAAATCCTTTTTTTTACAAATTGACTCCCTTAATGTTCACATTAATGGGCATGTGCCTTGTGTATTCACTGTATCTAGAATGAGGAAGAGGGATCATGGCTTAACTTTCCTAACCCGGACACCCGGATGGCTTAAGCAAACGACATAAGAAGTTTGTGATCTCTATGCATGGGCGTAAATTACAGGGAGATGGGGGGAGGGGATTGTAACCCTTCCAATAATTAAAACCAGCCAATACAACCCCTCCAATAATCAAGTCTCCCCTAAATGGTTGGAGACCTCAACCTCTCCAATGTTCAAACCAAAATTACGGCCTTGTCTCTATGGCAACAATAATGACAACATAGAAAAATAACTGTAAATTCAAAAATAATCATAAATGTTACAAAAAAAAAAAACTTTATGGGCATTAACAGTACATTAGCAGTAATTGGTCAAACATCAGTTAGGGTGTCATGGGTGCCATTGCTTAAATTGCTCTTTAAGCAAAAACAAACTAAAAAAAAACACGTCATAGGTTTCTAGTGTTAGGGTAATGTTGATGTGAGTGATTTGGAGATGCACTAGATGTGAATCTGTTTATGCCATAATAAAAGCCAGAGCACTTTTGACTGTCTAGCAGAAGCAAGGTAGCCAGTGTTGTGGCCTCCTTGGTTCTTCACCAAATGGATGATGGCCCATTGCATCCCAATTAATGAGAGTTTCAGAGCAGACTAGTGCTCAGTCGAAACTGGCTGGACGGTATAAGTGCTGTTAGCAATATGACCACTCCAGGACAGATCCTCCCCAGGCTCAGGATCTGCTTCATCTCCACTATGTTTGTGTATCTGGTAATTCCCTCCTTGACGGCCAAGCTGTAATAGATTTTCCAGGCTTTTAAAAGAGTGGCATTTTCGTGAAGCTCTGGAGCAGGTGAGTGAGTGCAGTCACCCCAGCCGTGCCTCAGGGGAGCAGACAGGGCTGGAGCAGGATGGACATCGGGGTGCTTGCTGCTCCCATCAGAGTCCGGCTGCCGTCGATCAGCAGGACACGTTCCGTCTCCCTCCTTATGAGAAAACTCACAGGCTTTGCTTTTGCTTTTCCTTTGGAAAACTGCCAGGAAACTGTATAGATAAGACATTCCCAGTGCCACGGCCGTTTGGCTTCACTACTTTTCCAATCACACAATGCCTTGTCCAGTACTCAAAGACAAAATGCGTGGTCCTGCTGGAAGTGCCACGAAGTAACAGAGTGACTCCAAAACTGCATCTAAAGGTGTACTGCCTCACTACACATTAATATAATGGCCATGCAGTTTGCGTCATATTATAGATCGATGCATCCTCATGGTGCCATGGCTAACTCACAGCAGCCTCATCCATTAAACAATCCAGTTATGGCTCTGTTAGCTGTGGGGCTATTTATAATGCATGTCGTCATGGAGACTGATTATTTTCACCGCACCCTTTTTCTAAAAAGCTGGTTGTTGTTTTGCATTGGTGTTCAAAGGAATGGACAGGGAAGTGATTGCTATGCAATCCTGAGATATTATAGATTTTAAATTTTGTTCCATTGGGCATTTTGTTTGGAAAAACAATTCCAACAGCATTCCTGGTTCACAGGTCAGCTTATGTTCCTCAGTCCTGGATAGCCCTCAGCAGAAGGCTCAACAGCACAAACTCGCACTGGTGCCTGATCTCCAAAAACTCCTCCAGAAGGCATCGTGTCGAACACACCCTGACTCAAAACACGCATAAGCAATGGCCAATCAGAGCCTTTTCAGTCCTAGAACTGATAATTTTATTAAGACATAAATGACAGAGATATGCCAAAGAGCAGTTTAGGAAATTACTCTGCACAAATGCTGCTTAATCAAATTGCTTTATGAGGGCGACAGTGGGATGGTCAGCATAGCAGTAAATCGTATCTGTGACCCAAAGGTTTGCAACTTAATTACCAGTGAAATTCTCAGTGTGGTTTTAACTATCCACTATCCACCCCATGACAGTAATGCCGCGTAAGCATGAGCGGCCGGCGTCGGATCTCTAGGGTATAAAGTTATATCTCCTGCAGGCCCTGTTCTGCGTGGCCAGAGCAATGGACTCTGAATGGTGGTAAAGCATATAATCAGGGATCATGGATAGCGTGCTGGAAGCCTCAGTGC